ATAAATATAAAAGACTTTTATTTTAAAATCTATCTAAAAGATAAACATCTAACTAAATAAAAAATATTAACAATATCATACTAAAGTGTATTACATACAGGGAACATATGTACAAAGGCTGGAAAGGAGAAATGAAAGTATATTGTTTTAAGGTTTTTATACATGAAGTGGTATAATATTAACTGAACATACAATGTGACAAGTTAAACCCTAAGTAACCACTAAAAAGAAGAATATGAGGTAATAAGCCAATAACAGAAATAAAATGCAATAATAAAAAATAATGAACCCCAAAATAGGGAAAAGAGTAAAAAGGAAATAAGCAACAGATAGTACAAATAGAAAACAAAAAGTACAGTAAAGAATTTTAAACCCAATGAACCAATAAGCATATCAAATGTAAAATCTTTAAATATCTTAATTAAAAGCCATAGGTTACCACATTGGCAAAAATAAGCAAAACTCAATCATATCCTGCTGTACTTTAAATAGACAGAAATAGGTTACAAGTAAAAGGATGGGAAAAGATATACCATGTTAACGCTAATCAAAAGAAAACAGGAGTGGTTATATTAATAACAGAAGATTTTAGAATAAATAATATTACTAGGAATAAAGCAAGACATTTCATGATGATGAAAGGTTCAGTTCATTAGGACAACATAACAATTCTAAATGTTTATAAACCCAATGACAAAGCTTCAAATTATACAAAACAAAAATTAATAGATCTGCAAGAAGAAACAGACAAATCCCTATTATACTCAGAGATATAAATATCCTTTCAATAGTTAACACAAGTAGATAGAAAATCAAGAAGGAAAGATAAGACTTGAACAATACTATCTACAAAATTGACCTAATCACACATTTATAGAACACTCCACCCAAAAACAGCAGAGTATAGATTCAATCGTACACAGAATGTTTATCAAAATGGACCGTTTTCCTGCCCACAAAAAAGTCTCAAAAATTAAAAATGTCTATGCATATGGAACATATTCTCTGAAAACAATGGAAATGAGTTAGAATCAACAACAGAAAGTCTTCAAAAACCAATCCCCAAGTATTTGACAACTAAATAACAGAGTTCTAAATAATCTTTGGGTCAGAGAAAAACTTAAAGGAGGAATTAGAAAGTGTTTTGAATGGAATGAAAATGAAAGCATGACATTTCAAAATTTCTGGAATATGGCTAAAACAATACGAAGAGAAAAATACCTACATTAGAAAGAGAGAGAGAGAGAGGAACAGAGACAGAGAGAGGCCCGAAATCAATGACTTCAAGTTTCATTTTAGGAAACTATCAAAATCAGAGCAAATTAAACCCAAAGTCAGCAGAAGAGAAAAAGCAATAAAGATCAGAGAGGAAATCAATTAAATTACAAAAAAACAATAGAGAAAATAAACGAAACCAAGAGCTGGTTCTTGGGGGAAAAATCAATGAAATTGATAAACCTACATTCAGATTGATGAAGAAATAAGAAAAAAAAAAAGATGCAAATTATCACCAATATCAGGAATGAGATAAGTGACACTATTACAGATTCTACAGAATATAAGTCTAACAAGGCAATCATTAGGAACAACTTGGTGCCAGTAGATGAAATGGAGAGATTCCTTGAAAAGTAGAGACTACTATCAAAGCTCACTATGCTGCTAACAGTTCACAGCTGCTCGATCTCCAGAGAATTGTTCTTGGCAGAATGGAACCTGCCTACCTGGAGATGCATGACCCCTAAGGGAAAAACCTGCAAATAATAACCAACTATCATATGGGTTTTAAAAAGCAATCCCTCTACCCTTGTCTCAAGTTGGAACCAATTCTATGGTGGTATTCATGCTCCAGGGCCTTCTTGGAATCAGGCTGAAGCTAGATCCCACTTCCACCCTTATTTGACTTCCTTCCCTGGCCGTATCCTGCTGTTCTCACCCTCCTCTTCCTTGGTTTTTCTCAATAAATTACTTTCCCAAGAATCCCTGTTTAAACCTCTGCTTATAAAAAGTCCTACCTAAGATAGGGTACTCGAGGGAGGCTAGAAGGCAAAAGAGAGAGAGGAGGGACTTGCTCCTTTCTCTTAGTTTGCAGTTCCTGGCTACAACACCCCAGCAATGACCCCTTATCTTGTGTTATGGATTAAATTGTGTCCCCAAAAAAGATGTCAAAATCCTAATGCCCTGTATCTGTAAATATGACCTGATTTGGAAACAGTGTTTTTGCTGATGATCAAGGTAAGATGAGGTCATTAGGGTAAAGTCTAATCCAATATGACTGGTGTCCTTATAAAAAGGAGAAATTTGGACGCAGAGATAGACATGCATAGAGGAAAGATACAGAGAGATTACTACCTACAAACCAAGGAGAGGAGTGCTGGAGGCTGCCGGAAGCCAGGAGAGACGCACAGACACATTGTACCTCATATCTATCAGGGGAGCCAACCCTGCCAGTATCTTCATTTCAGACTTCTAGCCTACAGAACTGAGAGAATACATTTCTAGGGCATAGGGGGGTTGTTTGTTTGTTTTGTTTTGGGTTTTTTTTTTTTTTTTTTGAGGCAGAGTTTTAGTCTTGTTGACCAGGCTGGACTGCAAATGGAGGGATCTCGGCTCACCACAACCTCTGCCTCCCAGGTTCAAGAGAATCTCCTGCCTCAGCCTCCCTAGTAGCTAGGATTACAGGCATGCACCACGACACCTGGCTAATTTTGTGTTTTTAGCAGAGACGGGGTTTCTCCATGTTGGTCAGGCTGGTCTCGAACTCCCAACCTCAGGTGATCCAACCGCCTCAGCCTCCAAAAGTACTGGGATTACAGGCATAAGCCACCGCACCCGGCTGAATTTCTGTTGTTTTAAGCCCACCTAGTTTGTCATACCTTGTTAAGGCAGCTCTAGGAAAGCAACATATCCTGTCTGTAGCAATTGGTTTCAGCCTCCAATCTTCTTCCTGTGCTGCTATCGCCAGCTTCATTTCACCATCTCAGGGTATCAGGACCCACTGGGCAGCAACCCTGTCTCCACAGCTCTAGGAGGGCTCTCCAATAAGCACCTAAATTCTATTAACCCCAGCTCTTCCCTCATTCCTCAATCCCTAGGGATGGGAGTGGCTTCCTGCAGTAGTGTTCCCCTTTCGACCTTTCAGTTTCCTGACAGCCACTTAACTAATTCCACATATATAAATTTCACCGTGAAAATAGCTAGCATGGTCTATTTCTAACAAAGACCTCTGACTGAAAACTATCTCATTCCAAATTAAGAATCTAAAACCATAACATACCTTATAAGATCCCATGCAATCTGGACCCTTGCTATTTCTCTGTCTTTGTTTCTTGTCTCTGCCCAAATACTGCCTCAGAAAACACTTTTCCTGATGATCTGTACAAAATTATTTCTCCCAACCCCTGCAATCTGTCCCCATGCTCCCTTTTCTCTGCAGCATTCCTTGTCATCTGATATACTCTGTATCTATTTGTTATCTATCTTCCCCATTAGAATATGAGTTCCATGAGAAAAGTTTTATTCACTGCTGAGTCCCCAGGGTCCAGAGCAGGCTCTGGCACACAGTAGGTACTGACTTTTGAAAGAAAGACTAACTGTAGAAAAACCCCTAGGATCAGCCCTACCATTGTTTCCATTTACCTGAACTATAACCAACCTTTAATTTTTAAAGGATGTATATTTATTAGCTCGCTTTGCTGGCCACTCTTCCTCTGTGGAGTCACACTTTAGTAGCAGGGTCTCCTGCACTTCCTTTAAATTGTGTGCTTTCTTCTGTTTAACAATTTACTTTTTGAGACAAGGTCTTGTTCTGTCTCCCAGGATGAAGTGCAGTGATGCAATCATAACTCACTGCAGTCCTGATCTCCTGGGCTCAAATGATCCTCCCATCTCAGCCTCCCAAGTAGTTGGGACTACAGATGTTCCACCTTGCCCAGTTAATTTTTCTTTTTTTTTAGAGATGGAGTCTCACTATGTTGCCCAGGTTGGTCTCCAACTTTTGGGCTCAAGTTATCCTCCTCTTGGACTCTGCAGTTGCTGGGATTACAGGGGTGAGGCGAGCCACTATGCCTGGCCCAATTTAAAATTTTTATAATGCAAATATTTGCTTCATTTTAAACCTTTAAAAATTATCAACTTAATCAAGATCAGCCCGTCAGCAGCATTTATTGAAAGGCTGGTTGCTGTGCCATGAGTCTAAACTAGACCATATTGAGGTGTCCAAAGAAGGAAGTGCAGTTCCTGCCCTTGCGGAGCTTATAATCTCATGAATATTCAACTTGTGTATATGAAAATGTCTCAGATATTTACCAATGATGCACAGAAGAAAATAGGGTATCTATGTGGTTGTTAGATGAGGTGCAATGGTTCAAGGGCCGTTCAAACTAGAATAATTCTTAGAAGAGATTGCTGTCAAGCCAGAATTTAAAGAAAGAGACAAAGATGGATAAGTATAAAGTAGGAAAAAAGGGTACGTGCAAAAACAAAAGGAAACGACAAATATATGGAAGTAACTTAATTAGTTACCTGGAGTCTATAAACCAAAAATCTGTGAATTTGGCCTCTAACCTTCCTGTTCTGAGCTATCTGTTCCGCACTTCTCAGATGTATCAAATTATTTCTGAACTCAAATGCTCCTATACTTTAAATGGCTGTTGGAATCACTTCATACTCCTTCCAAGCCATCCTAGGTCTCCATTGAAATGTCATTTTCCCAGAGCAGCTTTTTCCAGGCACTTAATCTGAAATAGATGTGCTGTGCTTTGTTATTCTGTACTTTAGTATTTCCTTCATAGCCCTTACCATAATTTATAACTGTAACTTTATTTGTGACCTTATCATTTGTCTTCCGTACTAGATTATTAACTATCGAGAAGCAGGATGTTTGTATTATTTTTCAGTACTATATTGCTTAGCACGGTACCTGACGCTTAATATTTATTTGTTGAAATGGAATTAAATAGTACATTTTTCTGTGAAGGCCAAAACTCCATATATAAAACTAATTCCAAAACCCAAAATAATTTTATTTTAAACAGTTACCAAAGTTAAATCGTCATCACTTCTGATACACTAAAAATGTATATTCATATAACTCTCGAATTATGTATGTATGCATATACATATGCATACATACATAATTCACATACATGGTAATAGTTTGAGCTTTACATCTGAAATTAATTTCAATTTGCATCACATATTTCTTTTTATAATAAACTGAATATGTTCATGAGAATCATTAATTCTTCTAAAGTACGGAACATAACCCTGGCTAGGACCAGGGTATGAGGGTGGGATGGTCTAAGCTGGTGCTAGCTCACACAAGATGCCCTGGTGCACATTTCAAAAAGCACCCACATCCTCTGGGTAGACACAGACACACAGAAACATAAGCTCTGCTTGGTGAATGGAGCCTGGGCAGGGCTTCAGCTCCCACTTTAGGTGCTCTTGCACAGGGCATGACCTGCATATGGGTGGCAGTCCTAGGGGGGTTGCTCAGTGGTGGTATGAGCAGAAGATGTGAACTAGCCACCCTTATGCTGTTCCATTTCTTGCTAAAAAAGGTCGACTTGATTTGTCTGGATTATTTCGGTCAGGAAGGATTCCCTTCTTCTTTTCACCACTCTGTCGGTTTAGCCGAAGAGGGAGAGCTCTCTGATGAAAGGAGACCATTTTTCATGTTCGAGTGTATGCGTGGCCTGCTCTCCCACTTCAGCCTCCAAGGGGTCTTTCTAGGTTTAATCTGAAGATATAACCCAGTGTTGATTCTTGATTCCTAATTATGCTGTCAGCCCGGTTGTAGGCAAGGGTTGCAATTTTCCCTCTGGAAAAAAGAATCAGAAGTTAGTCCATTTGTATAACGCTGCTTAGTAACTGTTTAGAAATTTTATCAGTAACAGGAAGAATAAGCTCAAGTTATCTCTTAAGTGACCCAATTTATTGACTTTCAGACAAACAGTGGATGAAATCAATTCTAGTTTCCATATGTCAAGAAATAACAGGCATGTCTCATTTCGGCAATCTTTTAGAAACTTTCTATGTCTTAGGGTCATGGGTTAAAACAGATGCATAGTATTTTAAAACCAAAATTAATTTAGCTTTAAGTGTCTTTCGACTTGAATTATAAGCCATAAGAAAGGCCTGTTTCAAAACTACTAACATGAATTTGTCAGAGTAGGAGTGCAAGCCACTGAAATACAATTTCAGAAGGATTTTTATTGTGGAAAAAGAATATAAAACTGGCATTTGGGAATAAAATGTTGGATAGTGGAAAGCACCCCAGATTGGGTCCTGATTCCTCATTCTCAAACTACCTAATGAGATGAAATTGTGCAAGTGATTTAATTTTGATGGGATTCATCTCGAGATCTATTAATAAGTTTAAAGCCTTAAAGTCTTTATAGTTCTCTGGTTAATTTTATATGAAAAGTCCTCAAAGCAGAAAGAATATCACAAGAAGTAGCCTGTGGGATCCAAAGTGGCACTTACAACCACATGTATGAAGAAGTCATGTGTGTACAACAGCCCCTGGGGAAAATGTTACATATGTCATCAGGGCCCTACATTTAGCTGAGGAGTGGGCGAAACATCCTAGCAGATTCTTTTCACTTATTCTGATGTGTCATCTCTTTTGGGAAAAACCTAACTTCTCTAATATCCAGGCTCAGGAAGTGAAAAAGAAACCTTACCTGGCCACTGGGACCACTTTGAAGAAGTAATTAATTTAATCAACTGCCCACCTCACCCATCACCAACTTTCGCAATCGCTTGGCAAAATCTATGTCCAACAAGTGAAGCAAATCCAAATATGGTGAATATTCCTCCACTGCCAAAATGGGAAAACTGCCTTATCTGCTCATCAAAGCCTATCTTCTTGGAAACCGGCTCCTCTGTTAAATACCCAAGTGGGTTAAATGCACATTTTGTGTGCAACCCTGTAGAAGCTCCTCCTGATGCTAACTTTCGGGGATCCGGTAAATGTCAAGGCACCGCTCTTGATAACGTAGACATCTTTTTAGAAACACCTTATTTACACAGACTTTGTCTAGCTGGGGGAAAGGTTAATTTATTTGTATACCGGGGGATAAGCAGGGCACAGCGCTTCTGGACGCCCTCAACAACTAATTCTAATTCTTTCTCCAGATCTAACTCCTCTGTTTCTACACGCAGGTAAATCTCTTACCAGGGGCGGGGTGTGTGTGTGTGTGTGTGTGTGTGTGTGTGTGTGTGTGTGTGTGTGTGTGTGTGTGACCTGTGCTCCCAGATAGCACCAGCGGGGCCCAGCTTATTCCCGGACACTTGTGGGACCCTGACAGGGGCAGGTCGGGGACTAACCCGCCCAAACCAAGGCAAGCACTCTGGGAGGCCGACTCGGCTCGGCCTGCAGCCCGACACACCGCCCACTCCGCGCACGCACACGCGTCCGTGCCACTTCAGTGGTTTGCAGGACTTCCGGTGAGGACGAGTCTCCAAACCATCTCAGCGTACTCAACCGCATCTGGGATTCCCCTGCCTCTAAGTTCGACCCCAAGCAAGATCTTTGAGGACTTGAGCTTCACATCGAAAGTCAGTCTGGAAAAAGGGGGTGTCCGTGCGGCTGGGAATGACAAAGGGGCCCAAAAACCTCCCTCCCGTCGGCTCCAGCCCACTTAGTTCACCCTCCCACGGGGCGAGGGATTGGCCGGGGGTCGGGGTGGGGATGGCCCTGGAAGGGGTCCCTCCCTTCCCACCTTCCACGGCCCACTCTTACTTACTTTCTCTCGGAGCCTCAGCTTGGCCGCCTTTAGCCCGGGCAGTGCAGAGAGGAAGAGTGGAGGAGAGAGGAGCCTGCTGGCTGCAGCAGCCGGGCAGTCCCGGACTCTCGGGACTGCGCCCCTGCCCCAGGCCGGCAGGGACCCGGAGCGGTAGACGCCCCCACCCGGGCGCCGCGGCGAGGCGGGCACGCTGGGTTCTGCGCCCTCGAGGCTGGCTCCGAAGGCTCGCAGCCCTCCCCCTCCGTCCGCCGCCGTCGCGGCCCGCCGCCCCTCCCCGCCGCAGCCAGGAGGCCGCCGGGGCCAGGGGGACGCGCTCGCGCGGGGGGCCACCCCCTCCCCTTCCTCCCACCCTGGGCGGGGGCGCGCGAGAAGCGGTGACGTCAAGGGGCGCGCTGTGGCAGCACCTCCCCGCGCGCTAGTTAAAAAGAAGAAGAAAAGAGGGAGCGAAACATGAGAGGCTGTGTGAGAAGCTGCAGCCGCCGGCAGAGGAGACCTCAGCATCATCTAGAGCCCAGCACTGCCCCGCCGCCGCCGTCGCCGTTTCTGTTCCTGCTACTGTCCCACCTAAACAACTCCCGTTACACGGACAAGTGAACATCTGTGGCTGTCCTCTCCTTTTCTTCCTCCTCTTCCAACTCCTTCTCCTCCTCCCACTTCCCAGCCGCAGCAGAAAGCCCCCAACCCAACTGACACTGGCACAACTGCAAACGGTGTCATCGGCACAACTTTATCTGGCTCCTCTGGCTCCCCTAAGACGTTGGACCCATCGCCGCGTCTTTTATTTTTTGCAAAGTTGCATCGCTGTACATATTTTTGTCCCCGCCACCTTCCTCTGCCTCTCGAGTGCCCTGCAGCCCCGCAGCCTCCTCCTGGAGCTGCGCCCTAGTGCCCCTGCTGGGCAGTGGCGTTTCCCCCACATCCTCCCGCGCCCAGCCCCTGCTGCTCTGGGCAGACGATGCTGAAGATGCTCTCCTTTAAGCTGCTGCTGCTGGCCGTGGCTCTGGGCTTCTTTGAAGGAGATGCTAAGTTTGGGGAAAGAAACGAAGGGAGCGGAGCAAGGAGGAGAAGGTGCCTGAATGGGAACCCCCCGAAGCGCCTGAAAAGGAGAGACAGGAGGATGATGTCCCAGCTGGAGCTGCTGAGTGGGGGAGAGATGCTGTGCGGGGGCTTCTACCCTCGGCTGTCCTGCTGCCTGCGGAGTGACAGCCCGGGGCTGGGGCGCCTGGAGAACAAGGTAGGCACTCACTGGCCTCACGGATGCGTACTTGGCATATTGGCTGGGTGGGGTTCCCTGTGGTTCTGGCAAAGCCGGTGGCTGTAAGAAGGGCAAAACTTCTTTGGGGGAGTTCTTTTCCTAACTTTTCTAAAGGGATAACGTGATTCCGTTGTGTGTTCCTCTGTGGTAAAGCAAACAGCATTCCCGCCCCCAGAGTCCACGGTGGGGATGCTGTGCAAACTTGCCTATCTCAGAAAATAGACGCTTCTGCGGTACCCGCACCCTGGACTGGGTAGATATTTTAAAAGAATCGCGATTAACAGTATGTTTTGGATCGAATGAGGGCATTGGTTGCGGTGAAACTGTAAATTAAGGTGGCTGTGGTTTCCGGTTTGTTTTTCTAGGGTAAAAAGATTTGTGCCGTTTTCTCCACGTGCTCGGTTAGGGAGAGGATTGAGTCGTAAAGGATGTTGAAGCATGGTTGGTTTATGATCCCCAGCCCCGTCAGAGGGGGGTGTCTTGCATTACATTAGTTAAACCAACGGAAAGGAGCTCCTGGTCCTCCGGTTAGGGACCCGAAAAAAGCTGGAGAAAGATTTTGCTGGAACGTTATTTGTCACATAAAACGGAGACGATTCTCCGTCATTGTGTAAATTATAAATTCAGGCTTTCAGGGTCAGTTAGGTGTCTTGGAAGAGCTTCTCTAAGAATTTGTTTTAAGAGTAATGGCATTTACGTTTTCCTTGTGTGTTAAGAAGTTTAACTAAATACCAACATACTGTTTATTGATTGTAAAGACACGCTTATTTTTGAGTTTGCAATATCGTTATTGCCAGGAGATGCAGTCATGTGTGGTATCTACTGTACTCCAAGGAATGATTGCTGGGTCACATCATTAACAATCACTGCACGTGAAATAAACAATCAGGTGTCTTTGCTCCCCCTCCCTTTCCCTATTTTAGGTTTAATTAAGAATTCCTCTGTTAGAACACTGCCAGTTGTCAAGGTCTGAGAGGCTCTTGGAAAACTTGTGCTTCAGTCTTGCTGGCCCAGGCAAAATAAATAAAAAAAAAAAAAAAAAAAAAAAAAAAAAAAAAAAAAAAAAAAAAACCCAGGCTGAATCTAATTTTTATGCTCAGTTCACGGTAGATTTCACTCTATTCTCATGTAAACAGCTCCTACGAATCAACATATGTGTCTGGGTGGTATCTCTCACTTTGTTTTGTAACAAAAAGCCATATTGCATCATTTAATTTGCTCAAGTCATGCAAATAGGAAAAAATCAATAGGACAAAAAGGGGTCGACTTATCCTCCTCCCCACTAAACTGCTGCCCACACACAGAGTCCTGTTGCTTATGGCAAAAGAATAACAACAACACCATTGTATTTGTTAGTTGGTTCACTAATGGGTGAAACTAGAGAACATCATTCTCTTTCAGTCCCCAGCTCTGTCCAAATGTTCATGCCTTTTGAGGGAGCATTTGTCCAACTCCTTCTATTCCCAGATGAGTGAGAACTGTCTTGCTGCAGGTTTTCAGCTGCAACTCTCTTTTTATTCTTACCATATGCAGCAGGAGCCTGAGATTCAGGGAACAGATATTCCAGGATTTTATTCAAAACAGTGTCATGAATCTCCTGTGTTGCAATTGAATTAAGTTACAAAACAGCTACATTCAGTTCACCTTAAATGTTTTATCAGCAGCCCTAAAGAACCAGGAAATTCAGAGAAAAGTTTAGAAATATTTGCCATTCAGCCTTCCTTGGTGCAATACATGCTATGAATAAACTGATGATCTAGAGACCCCTGCAATACTGAACTCTTCCAGGGACATATGGAATGAGAATTTTGTTCTTGACTCAATGGTGGGGAGAAGGGAAAAGGAGATGGGACTGAGGGGAGTTATAGTCCTTAAGAGTAGTTATATAAAAACTTTTTTAAAGAAATCATTCTTTAGGAAGCAATCTGACATGTTAACTATACATATTCCTTTCTGTTTTATGTGCTTCCAATCTCCAACAAACCCCTACTCATTTGGAAAATGTGTCTGAGTTAACTTTGGTACACTAGACTTTTGCTGGTTCCATTACAAGTGGCTTATAAACTAACAATACCCAAACTGTTCAAAATAGAGATTTGCTATAGGTATGCATATGCATTCTTGACCTATGTTACTTCTCAAGTTTTAATAGTTTTTAAAACATGTTATTTTATAATAAACTTCAGTGTTTCCCTTTTTCCTGTAAGCCTTCCTGGATTATAATATATGTTAGGATCTTATTTCATAATGTGTATACAGGAGGGATGATTGCTATTTGAAAGGGTCCTTTATTGTTTATGAAAAAAAAAAATCCCCAGAAAGATTTCTGCAGCCTTTCAAGAAACTATAGTAGTAGCTTTTTCCTACAGGAAGAATTTCTTAGACAAATAGATAGTAGAAATATTAGCATGCTGAGCTACGCAATTAAGTCCTGTTTCTCAGCTAAGAAATTTTCTTTAATGAACTAGAATTGACTTCAATTCTTTAGACATGGAATTATGCTCTTATTTTAATTTTTTAAATATTTTAATAATGTTGTATATTGTGATGAGATTGTTTACTATGGCAAATAATTACTGTCAAAATTTAGAAAGTCATATTATCTTAGCAATATTATTGCAGTTTCTAAATATAGCCTGTTAAAAGGATCTAATTCTCATTAAGCAAATTGAATCTGCAACCAAATGATATAACCCCCATTTCTAAAACTTAACTTGTAGCCACAGAAGCATAGAGCTCTCTCTACCTTGGGTGGTTTCACAGCCAAAGCTGTCAAGGAATGGGTGAAAAGTAATTGTTTTCAAGTGTGCCCTTTTACAATCATTTGTTTGCTCTGGCTCTTTCAGGGACAAAGGCTATTGTTGAACACATCCAACTAAACAAATAACTCATCCTGGGGTCCCTTTAACAGCTGCCTTAGTACAATGATCTATTTACATATTAGCCTAAAATTGAAACTGAACTCTTTAATGACATAATCCAGCACTATAGTTGAGAGACACATGTGTTCTACCCAACAGCTGAACAACCTTGTAGGCATATGATTTTTAGAAATAACTTTTTGTAAACCAAATGATCTTAAGGCGACATCTTAATATACTGTCATGTATTTTCTCCTTTTGTCCCCTCATCGAACCCATGTGGGTGCCTTTTGCCCTCTTTGTTTAGTTACTTGGTAAATAAAGAGAAATACAGAAGGTCTCTGTCACCCGTTTTACTATTTGTTGATAAGCTATAGTTGGAGGCCACACTTTACCGTGTATCCCCTATTTATCTTACCCTTCTTCTATGGATTTTACTTTCGTGTGGCTAAAGATTAAAGGATGACCTGCCAGATGTTATAAATTAGCAACAGCCACAATGATTACTAGGCATGCTGTAATAATGTTTCGAAGTTTTACATGATTTCTGAAGTATATTTAGTTAAAACCACTATAATTTGATGGTTTTGTATATGGCTTTTAAAAATCGAAACAGGAAATTAGCTTAAATTTCTTCTTAAAATTGATGGCATCGTCAGAAATAAACTTAAGGACCTATATAAGACACAGACACATAGGCAAAAAAGTAGAAATCACCCTACACACACCCAGACTCATCTGTCTAAAACACTGTTGCAGCTTTGGCTGAGTCAGTTTAATTGACTTCAATAAGACTATTGGTTCATTGAAACCAAAGCCAGAATGATGGCTTTATCTATCTTCAAATAGGTATTTACACTGCAGACCTCACACAGAGCAAAATGTTACCGTCCTGCTGGGCCGGAACAGCATGAAACTTTAAAAAGAATAATATTATACTTGATTTCAGATAATTTATTGAATCCTACTTCTGAAACTTTTGATGAGAGATCTGTGGCCAGAACACATTCCAAAAATTGTAAAAGACAAAATTACTTAGGCACTAAAATCAAGCTCTTCCTGGATAGCAGCTGAGAGAGTATATGAGGATCATTTTGTTTCAGCTATAAAAAATGGAAGCATGCATAATCTCCATAAAACAAAAGGTAATTACATTCCAGGTTTTAAGCCAGCAAAAAAGGGTGGCTTCGGCATCCTGCAATTGTTTTGTTCTTAGTGGACTGCTATATGATAAACAAATAGAACAGAATTGAACACTATTAATATTGAATAGTTCTGGTGAGGTTTGCCAGAGTATGGACAATAAAACACATTTAAAACATTCTTGGAATGCAAATTCTAAGGGTGTAGTGTATGTTTCCTTTCAGAAGATTTTATCCATTTAAGCAATTGTTATTTAAATAAATTGATAAGACTGTAAATATAATTGTGATTAATAATAACTTTTCTGAATAGCGTAGCTACAATGCATCATATATTTTTTTAACTTTTATTGGACTTGCTGCATACTAAAATTTCAGCATGCTTATATTCAATGATTTTTTTTAGTTGCTTTGCTCTTGCAGATTTAAATTTTTGTGATTACCTAGAATATCATTATCCCAAAAAATAGAAGCCATAGATTTACTCAAATTAGAACCTTCGTTAGTGAATGAAATATTTGTTTAAAACAATGCTCTAGAATTTAAAATGTTAATTTTGGTTGACAGTTCTAAAGAAGTAATAAAGTATGAATATAGTTAGATGAATTGGGAAAAGGTATAAAATTCAATTCCATTATGGTGTTTTTAATATAAAAAATTAATACTTGATTTCACTTGTCAAATATTGTGTTGTTATTGTCTTCTATATATATTAAAGAAACTTCTGAAATCAGGTTTTTAAAGTTACTGCTAGACAACAAGACCTATTCTGTCTACTAATTGTTAAACTCAATGAATCAATAACTCAAATTGGTCTTATTGAAATAAAAGACATATCATTGTAAAAAACTGTGATGAAGGTAAGCCATTTTTCATTAAAATTTACTACATATTATTCAAAAACACTTTATTAAACTCTTATGTTTGTTCATACATATAACATACCTGAGGACCTAGTTAGAAAAATTTTCCTGGCTAAGATATAATGAATAATAAAAATTGGTCTAACCTGTTCAATTTTGCTTTAGATATTATTTTTATTAAACATGAAAGGCAAATATTATCCTACTTTAGAAAACTTTCCTTAATGCAGTATGCAGATTGAAAATTAATTGAAATTTTAAAAATGTAGCCCAAGTACATTTTTGAGATTACCGTATTAAGAATTTCAGAAATGAAATAGATCTTCACATAAGACACAAATAAGCCATGTCTTGAAAAATTCTGTTTTGCACACAGTTGGACAAAGGTTAGAACTTTAAAGTTAAATATCATTCAGTATACACTTTGAGGAAGAATGAAATAATAAAACCTTGAAGAGTCTAAATATAATAGCCTTTTAACTTTTTACACCTGAAGTACAGATGAAATGTCTTTGATTTGCAAGAATAAGAAGCACTTTTATGTATCCCTGCCCTTTGTTCTCCCAGCTCAGTTCCAGAGACTGTACTTGTATCCTTATAAAGGCATTCTGTATTATGACACAGTAATTCTTTTCAGAAAACTTCACTGGCTAAATTAGACTGTTGTACTTACACAATTGCAAATAATAATAATAATAACTAAAGCTAAACTTTACCTAACTAAAACAACATTGTTTCTGCTTTATGGCTTTCAGATATTTTCTGTTACCAACAACACAGAATGCGGGAAGTTACTGGAGGAAATCAAATGTGCACTTTGCTCTCCACATTCTCAAAGCCTGTTCCACTCACCTGAGAGAGAAGTCTTGGAAAGAGACCTGGTATTTCCTCTGCTCTGCAAAGACTATTGCAAAGAATTCTTTTACACTTGCCGAGGCCATATTCCAGGTAAGGAAAAAAAAAGTGCACGAGTGAAGTAAACCACCACACAATCTCCTTGTAAGATACGTGTTCTTAAATGCTTATTTACAAGACTTGTAAAATTCATCTTGCCCTTAAAAATACCTATTTTACCTCCTAATTAACATTTCCAAATTTATAACTTTTATTCCCTCTAAAGGGAGTATTGTAATTTCAGTCTGCAAATAGTATAATTGGTTTTGTTAACTTGTTATATATTTCTTGTTAAGCTGATAATACAGGTGGTAATCTTCATACACATTGATTTCTCAGTCCAAATCTCTTCTTGGTACCTTCTTTACCCATCAGGATCAATATCAAGGCAGCATCTTCTTCTACACAACTGATACGAAATTGGAGAATGTCCACTAACTTGTAAGATAGACCCTTAAATAAAATATGATTAGGAATCCAAAAAAGTAATATCTTACAAAGCACTTTCAATAAAATGGCGAATTTTTACTCTGTGAGGTAGGTAGGAACAGTAGAGTCCTCCTTATTTGACAGATGAGGAAACCTGAGCCTTGGGAGAAGTCATACACCTTAATCAATGTTGTACAATGAGAATGTGATAGGAGAGATATGGATATTCTTACATGTATAGTGTCATGAACATGCCCAGTCACTATCGTATTTTGGACTCCAAAAAGCATAAATAGTCATTAATTAATTTTTATCATCAAAAGCTTGTAAACTTTGGTTGCTGTTGCTTTAGTTGGAAGATTCAACATATAGAAAGAAAATAATTTCATGAGACAGATTCTGTTTAGTTAGGAGACAAAGCAGCACACAAATCTACTGAAGATTAAGCAGTATTTAAGAAAGAGGCAAGCTTTAAGAACTGTAGAATGCACTGAGAGAATTTTTTAAAGTGCTATGTACATTTTACTTTTTTCTCTGACACAGGAAAGTGTGGATTTTTGTATTTTTTAATATAGCTCTCTTAATAACTTTAGAAAACATTTTGACTAGGGTTGCTTGCTCTCTTGCATATAGGATGACATATATCTAAACCCATTCAATATGAAATGTTATTATTGTCTTCATAAACCGCAGCTGTGGTCCTAGGCCTTCTCTCAAGCAGCTGTTTCTTCCTCTTTATCACATTCCCCAAACCAAAGTAGAATAGATCATGGTTGCCTAGATGGCCTCCAGAGAAGTGATAACAGATTAGATACCATAAATGTTTGCTGGAAATTTCAAGTCTTACACATTTGCCTGTAGGACTATAAACTGAAAGTGATATCCACACTTAGCATTTTTATTTATCATTATCTACTTTAGATAAATACAACATGCTAGATTTGGGGACTTATCTGTGGGGGTCTTTATATATTTGGAGTAATTTTTAGCTTCCAAAAAACAATAAAATAAAAGCAATCCACTGAAAGAAAGAGCACAGCAAACAGCTCAGAGCCAGAACTGCAATCACCTCACTCTCCAGATCAACATATGTGGTGATGAATGACAAATTTATTTTTCTACAAAGTTTGTATATATGTAAAACTGCTGAAGTGCATCAAGATGTCAAGTGCTTTTGGTGGCCACCCAGGCTGCTTTGAAAGATATCCAGATGAAAGCTCCACTCTAGAGGTGGACAGAGCAGCAAGGGTGCTTTCTAGAGACTCTGGAAGGCGTTACCAACAAGCAGAGGGGGCTGCCCCTGCATGTGTCAAATGCTAATGATCATTCTAAATACTTGTCCCAAAATCGAGCTGTAGTAACACGCTCTCTGCATTACTTACCCTAATCGATTTGTTGCCTGGATTGATCGTTGGCGTGTAGGTTACCATTTCCTCAAGTACAATGACTAAGATGCTGATCAGTCTCTACCCCCCAAGCCCGTGCCCACAGCACCAAACTGTCTTTACAACTGTGGAACACAGATTTTTTGGAAATTACTACAAAAGCAAATTTTTAATCGTTTCCCCTTAAGTTGATTTAATGATATTGTTCACTTTCTTCTGAAGTTCAAAGTGTTGGAAAACAGCTACTTTGTGTTTCTTTTTTAGAAGAAACTAAATATATTTTGACTGTCCTCGTTAATAGTTTCATCATTCTACAAATCAAAAACTTGAAGAGGAGGGTACCCCATGGGATGTATTTTGCTAAGGCAAATGCTGAAAGAATTGGGAGAGAGAAAATAATTCCAGAGACAACTTCATTTTTTTCCTTACTGCCCAATACATGAAGAAATGTACATACAAATGACTTACCCATTTGCTTTGGCTTCATGGCTTTAGGAAAGCACAGTCACTTTAATATATTCATATACCTATAAGATTGCTACTTTCTAGAAAGCTTAATTAAGAAATAGTCATAGTTTGCTTATTTTCCCAAAAATGGGAAGATATTACAAAGTAATATAGTGGGTTGTGAATTCACTTAGAGAAGTACATTATCCAGTTGTGAATTCACTTAGAGAAGTAAATTCTCAAAACTTCTACAAATGCCAAGAACTCTCCTCTCATCTCTGCAAGTCTTTTCTTCTGCTTGACTGAGCAGGGTAGCTACTTTGCTGATCATTAAAAGACGGTATAACATACTCTATGGAAACCATATCAGTGGACATCTAGTTGGCCTTGCTTCTTCCTTTATACCTGTAGTCATAACGATTTTTATTACTCATCGACCTCATCTTCTCAGCAGTAGGTTATTGTAGTGTGAAATGTCTGCACACAATTAGTTCAATTGGCTTAATCCTGTTTCTAAGAAGGCCAAGGTCAAGGGTTTGATTCAAACTGAATATTTCTAGTCCATAGTCATTCCTAACCCTTGTCAGTTCCCTTACACATGTGTCTTCTTAGTCTCAAGGAGAGTAAACCAGAAGGAATAGATGAATATATCAAAATCCACCACTTCTTTTAGAATATGTTCATGGGTAGGCCTTACTCCCAGTGAGTCAGTAGCTCTTTTTTTTTTTTTTTTTCTTATCATGATGAGCAACACTTATAATGAGGAAAAATGACTTTTCTCTGGAATACATGCTGAGAGAAAAGGGAGAACTCATAATCCTCCGCAGGAAGCATTTATCTTACATGTCAGTATTTATAGGGTGCTCTGTGGTATAGCAGAACCAGGCTCATGATCGGGGAGAACATTTACAGATCCAAGATAGTGGATAAGTGACCAGGACTTAAAAAAATACAACTGCTGGAATATTCAGTGTTTGTTGATTATTAGTAGACCTGACTATATTATGATGATCCCAAGTAAGCTAAACATGCACTTGCAATAAAATGCCAAGCAAGAGGGAACCATTAAGTAAATTACATCTTCCCTGGCAATAAATGTTAAAATATGTCTCTTTATTCATTCATTGTTCACTGCAGAATCGGGTCATTTAAGGTAAAGTATTAATAAAAGTATTAGATACTTAAATTTAAACAAAATTAAGTGATCATAAAAAGAAAATACCCATGTCTTTAAGTAAAAAATCTCCTGAGCTGGTTGTTTTACACATAGGCTATTCAGTTTGTCTAAATTATGTAAGAAGCTTGGAGTAAATTTATTGTTAACATTCTTTATTTTTTCTTAATTTGCCAAGCAGCATCATACCTCTGGAGCCACCAAGTTTATGAATATGCATTCATTAGTCTTTTGATATTCCATTTGAAGATGACTTCTCATTTCCTCATGTTTGTCCCAGCTACTAATTCTCTATAAAATGGAATCAGCCACCAGCATTGTTAATTAATTTCCCCTTAAGATAGTATTGGTTGGTAGACAGCAATGCTGAAGCACACATTTTTTTTAAAAAAAGCAAGCTTGAAATCTCTTTTGAATTGCATTTTGCAATTTTTCTGTGACCCTGCAGGCAAACATCACATTAAAACTAAATTTCTCACTCACATATTCAGTTACAAATATGACCATAGTATGACAGTCTTCCTGCATGCATAATAAATATATGGAGATTTTGTTGCCTGATGGTAAATATTTCCAAAATATGATCTAGCCCAAAACTTTGCAAAGAGTTTGATTTAACGAACCCAATCAAGCTAATTTAGTTTTTCTTTCCTTTTCACCTCTAAGAGACTTGTTGAACCCTATTAGGCAATTTTCATCTGAACGCTTACCCATTAAAGAAGGGAGGGGGGAAGTTATCTTTTGCAAATGGTGAATTGCCAAAGATGAGTAAATGCTTCTATGGCCTTCATTCCTCTCCCCAGTTCCTAATCCTTGAATTTTTGTCAAAGAAAGATAACTTTCCAATTGCTTACCCCTCCCATGGAGCACTTCCCAGCTGCTTGTCTCTTTTTTTCTGTGCCCTGCACCACACACACACACACACACACACACACACACACNACACATAGGCAAAAAAGTAGAAATCACCCTACACACACCCAGACTCATCTGTCTAAAACACTGTTGCAGCTTTGGCTGAGTCAGTTTAATTGACTTCAATAAGACTATTGGTTCATTGAAACCAAAGCCAGAATGATGGCTTTATCTATCTTCAAATAGGTATTTACACTGCAGACCTCACACAGAGCAAAATGTTACCGTCCTGCTGGGCCGGAACAGCATGAAACTTTAAAAAGAATAATATTATACTTGATTTCAGATAATTTATTGAATCCTACTTCTGAAACTTTTGATGAGAGATCTGTGGCCAGAACACATTCCAAAAATTGTAAAAGACAAAATTACTTAGGCACTAAAATCAAGCTCTTCCTGGATAGCAGCTGAGAGAGTATATGAGGATCATTTTGTTTCAGCTATAAAAAATGGAAGCATGCATAATCTCCATAAAACAAAAGGTAATTACATTCCAGGTTTTAAGCCAGCAAAAAAGGGTGGCTTCGGCATCCTGCAATTGTTTTGTTCTTAGTGGACTGCTATATGATAAACAAATAGAACAGAATTGAACACTATTAATATTGAATAGTTCTGGTGAGGTTTGCCAGAGTATGGACAATAAAACACATTTAAAACATTCTTGGAATGCAAATTCTAAGGGTGTAGTGTATGTTTCCTTTCAG